CATGGGTTTGGCGAAGCAGTGCACGACGCTCTGCAACCTCAAGAGCGACGTCAAGCAGGCGCACGCGGACTACGACAACATGAGCTGGGTCGAGTGGGTCGACTACGCCGAGGATCTGTCGGATTCCGTCGGCGAGTTCGCGGACGCCATCGTCGCGCTCGAGGACAGCATGAACGAGGTCACGGCGGACATGGGCATCTCCAACTACCAGCAGGAGACGGCCTGCGACGGCGGCGACGCGTCCGGCTACCTCGACGGCGTCGACTCGACGGGCACGCTCTGCGACGACTACGAGGAGGCCGATCGCTACATCAACTTCGCGCGGAAGGCGCGATCCGCGTCCGACTCCGTCGGCGACGTCTCCGACTGCCTGCGGCGCCTCTACGGCGTGGACGACGACGCGACGTTCCCGCCGACGACGGTGACGCCCTACCCGACGTCGCTCCCGACGGCCGCGCCGAGCGACCAGCCGACGACGGCCTACCCGACGGCGACGCCGACGACCGGCGCGCCGTCGGCCGTGCCGACGTCCTTCCCGACCTGGGTGCGCGGGAACCTCACGGGCCACCGCGCCAACTTCTCCGACGACGACAACTATTACTCGAGCGACCGCATGGACCCGCCGCCGTGCATGGACAACGACGAGTACGACGCGCTGCAGGCCATGGCCAAGAACTACAAGAACACGGCCAAGCTCTTCAAGGGCATCGTCCAGCTCATCGACATGGTCGCGCACATGCTCATGGACGTCAACGTGGACCTCGTCATCCTCGTCTACGTCGGCCTCATGCTCCTCCACGGCCTCATGCTCCTCTTCATCTTGTACGTCGTCTACTGCCCGGGTTTAGGCGTCAACGAGTTCATCTACTACCTGTACGACGAGTCCTACAAGCGCGTCATGCCCAAGCGCTACGAGCGGCGCTGCCGCGAGCTCGCGGACGCGGCGAACGCGGCGTTCGCGGACACGGCGGGCGCGCGCGCGTCGAAGAACTACAACATGGCCTACAAGATGGCGCGCAAGTCCGTGGTCTACGGCTACAACCAGGCCGCGGAGTCGGCCTGCGACGTCCACTACGTCGTCCGCTTCTGGCTCATCTACCTCTTCATCGACGTGCTCTTGTTCGTGTGCGGGCTGCTCATCTTCTTCCACTTCGTGATCATCGCGCTGGGCAACAAGGCCACGTGCCGCGCGGTCTTCGACCTCCTGCCGGGCATCAAGGCGAGCCTCCGGATCTTCAAGGAGACCGCGGAGAAGTCCTGCTTCTTCGAGCTCAGCGACAGTGCCTACGGCACGCACCGCTGGTACGCGTCGGAGATCGAGGAGGACTGCGACGTCGAGATCCAGAGCGCGCTCATCAAGGCCATGCGCGGCGACCGCGGCGACGCGGCGATCATCACCATCGCGACGATCCTGCTCTGCGTGGGCCACTGGTGCCTCATCCACTGGCTGCCCGCGGCCATGGCCTACGCGAAGCCCGAGTCGCTCCGCGCGCACCTCGAGGACCTCATCGTCAACAACGAGGACGCGGAGCTCGCGCCCCTCGTGTCGCGCGCCAAGTCCGAGATGATGCTCGCCGACGTGCCGCCGCCGGGCGACGACGACGCCGCGCCCGCCGCCGACGGCGACGCGCCCGAGGAGAAGGCGCCGGACGCCGCGGACGACGAGCCGACGGCCGACCTGCCGCCGCCGCGGCTCCTCGTCGACCTGCCGCCGTCGCCGGAGGCCGGCGTCGTCGACCTGCCGCCGCCGCCGCCGCCGGCCGAACGGGACGACGTCGAGGCCACGACGCTCAGCCCGGGGGCGACGAAGCACCTCATCGACCAACCGGGCGTCGGCGTCGATTGCTGCGGCGTGGGATCGCAGGACATGATGGAGGACCCGCCGGCCCAGCCCCAGGTGAAGATGCTCTAGCCGAGCCCCGCCTCGCTCCTCGCGCGTCCCTCCCCCCCCCCCCCCCCCTCGACCGCGGCTTCGCGGCTTCACTGCGGCTCGGTACCCCGCCCTAACTCAAAGACAGCGTTTTACTGCGGCTCCGAGTCGGTACCTTGCCCTAACTCAAAGACAGCGTTATGCGGCGCCGTCCGAAGACGAGTCGCTGGACGCGAGGATCGCGGGGAGCTCGACGGGCGGGCTGCCCTCGCCGTCGTCGTCGGACGACGACGCCTCGCCGTCCTCCCGCCGCCGCGAGTCCGCGCGCGGCTCGGAGGCGTCGTCGTCGGACGACGCGTCGCCCTTGGCGTCCTTCTTCGCGTCGTCGTCGGACGACGCGTCGCCCTTGGCGTCCTTCTTCTTCTTGTCCTTCTTCTTCTTGTCCTTTTTTTTCCGCTTCTTCTTGAGCTTCTTCGCCTCCTTTTTCACTTTCTTCAGCTCCTTCTTCATGCGCTTCCGGTCCTTCCGCCGCCCCGCGTCGTCGTCGCTGGAGTCGCCGGCGCCGTCGCCGCGGGCGGCCATGAAGTGGACGACGTTGCCGTTGAGGCCCGACGCGCCGAGCGCGAGCGCGTCGTCGCCGACGTCGCGCCGCTTCCGCTTCGCGCTCTTCTCGCGGTCCTTGCGCAGCGAATCCCGGTAGGCGTCGTCGGCGCCGCCGTCGCGCGCCTCGAGGTCCGCGCGGTACTTGCTGATCTGCGGCGCGACCAGGGCGTCGTACATCTTGTCCAGCGTCGAGTCCTTGGCGCGGCTCGTGAGCTTGGCGGACGCGGCGCCGTGGTCCTGGAGCGGGTGGATCTTGCACTGGCGTATGTGGCAGTTCGCGCACTGCTTGACCGTCGTCGGCAGCGACGAGCGCTGCCAGGGCGCGCTCATCGCGGCCGGCGGCGGCGCGTCGACGAGGTGGAGGCCTTGACGCCTCGACGAGCGAGCTGCTCTTTGCCGGCGCTCAGGACGTTGCTGCCGTCGCGTCCCAGCGGCCAACGATGGCTGCCCCGCTTTCGCGGCGACGCTGAAGGCGGCCGTCGTCTCCCGAGCCGGCTCGGCGTCGCCTGGCACAACCTCGCGCCATGCCCGCGGACCCCGGCCGCATCGAGGATTACCGGACCTACAGCCGCTTCGGTCGCGACCCCGAGGCCTTCCTCTACGTCGTCGACCGCATTTTGTACGGCCTCGCGCGCGACGCGGCGACCTCGGGGACGAATGTGGTGCGCGTCTGGTCCGTGGGCTGCGCCGGCGGCGAGGAGCCCTACTCGCTGGCCATCGCGTGGCACGCGGCGCTCGCGGAGCGGTTCCCTAGCGTGCGCCTCGACATTGTCGCGACGGACGTCGACGAGGCGAGCCTGGAGCGGGCGAGGAACGGCGTCTTCGACGGCCACGCGGTGACGAACCTGCCCGTGGAGTGGGTGTCGCGCTGCTTCGACGCGCGCGAGGGCAGCCCGCCGACCTACGAGCTCCGGTCGGAGATTCGGTCCCGCGTCGCGTTCGCGCGCGCGGACGCGGCGCGCGACGACCCGCCGCCGGGGCCGTTCTGCCTCGTGAGCTCGCGCTACTCCCTCTTCCTGTACCTGTCCCAGGCCGCCGCGGCGAAGGCGCTCGCCGCCGTCTGCGCGCCGGGCGTGCTGCGCCGCGGCGGCTACCTCGTCACGGGGCTGTCCGACAAGCTGCCGCGCAACGGCGAGAGCCTCGGCCTCGTCAAGCGGGGCGCCGGCGCGCCCGACGGCATCTACCGCTGCGCCGCGGCCCTGCCCGCGGGCCCGCCGCCCAGGGCCGCGACGGACGACGGCCTGCCGCCGTCGCTCACGGAGCTCCTCGACTGCGAGGCCCGGGAGCAATTGAAGCCCGCGCACCTCCGGCGGGGCCCGAAGCGGAGCTTCGTCAACGACCGGAGCCGGGCCATCCTCGAAGCCGCGGCGCAGCGCCTCGACGCGCCCGCGCGCGAAGACGCGCCGGAAGAAGCGGTACGACGCGCGCCCGTCGTCGCGGACCTCTCCGCGTCGATCTACGGCAGCGCGCGGCCGCGCTTCGAGGCGCTCCCCGCGCCGCCAAAGCCGCTGAGGCCGCTGCCCGCGGAGACGCGCGCGGCCCTCGACCGGCTCGCGCGGCCCGTCGTCCGCGCGGAGCCGCTCCCCGAGACGCCCGCGCCGCGACGGCGCGCGCTCGCGCCCGAGGAGGCGCGCGCGCTCGTGGAGCGCATGATGCACGACATCGTCAAGCGCGAGCAGTCGCTGGCGGCGCTGCGGCGGGACCTGGCCGACCCGGCGACGAAGGGCCGGAAGCTCGGGGAAAAAGCGCTCGCGGATTTCATCGCGCGCATGCGCGGCGACACGGACGCGCGGAAGCGCCACCTCGCGGACCTCCAGGAGCAGATCCTGCGGGACGAGGCGGCGCGGCCCGGCGACGACCGGGTCGCGGCGCCGGACGTGTCCGCGCTGCGCGCGCTCGGCCGCATCGCCGCGGCGCCGCGGCGGCCTCCGACGCTCGCCGTCGCGCCGTCGAAGCTCGTCCGGTTCCTCCTGAAGCGGCCGGCGCTGCCGCCGGCGCCGCTCTTCGACCGGGATTTGTTCGAGGACGCGCGGCCGCGGGCGACGCTCGCGCGCGCGCCCGCGGCGAGCTGCAAGCACCCGGACGCGGCGACGATCTTCCGGCGGCCGCTGCCCATGGGCGGCGGGCGACTCGGCTTCTAGTACGATATCCGGGGGGCGGGGGCAGGGGGCCCTAGGACGCCCAGTTGAACTTGACGATGACGGCGGTCATGTTGTCGCCGCCGATGCCCTGGGTCGTCTTGGGGTCGTCCGCGATGCACCGGTCGAAGATCTGCTCCGCGATCACCGCGGGCGGCGTCGTCGCGATGCGCTCCCGGACGAAGTCGACGCACTCCTGGTTCGACAGCACGTCCCAGACGCCGTCGCAGGCGAGGACCATGAACTCGTCGTCGCGGGCGACGAGCGTGTGGACCGCGACGTCGGGCTCGGCCGTGATCATCTGCCGGTCGCGGCCGAGCGCCTTGTTGCCCTTGTACTTGAGGTCCCCGAGCGACCGCGACAGGTTGAGGTTGCCGTTGACGCGGCCCTGGGCCGTGACGAAGCCGCCGGCGGCGAGGATGCGCTCCGACTCGCCCGCGTTCGCGGGCTTGTGGTCCTCGCTCAGCGGCACGGCGACGCCCTTGCGGCACAAGACCGCGCGGGAATCGCCCGCGTTCGCGACGATGACCGTGTCGCCGCGGACGGCGGCGACGACGGACGTCGCGCCGGCGGTCACGGGCGAGTCGGGCAGGCGGCAGACCTGGTTCTCGCCCCGGGGCAGGATCATGGACGCCGCGTCGCGCTGCGCGCGCGCGGCCTGCGACGCGCGCGCGCCCGCCGCGGGCAGGCCCGCGGGCGGCGCGGCGGGCGCGGCGGCGCCCGGCGGCGGCGCGCCGCCGCCCTCGTTGGCCTTCTTGAGGCTCATGAGCTTGGCGAACATGTCGACGGCCTCGGAGATGGGGATGCGGCCGCCGTCGTCGTCGTCGCCGCCGTCGGCCGGCGCGGCGCCGCCGGCCGCCGCGCCGCCGTCGGCGCCGAGCTTGGGCCGCGGGTCCCGCTTGAAGCCCTCGAGCTCGCCGTAGTTCGACGGGTCCTCGAGGAGCATGTCGATGCCGTGGAACGCGCCCGCGAGCGCGGAGCCGAGGTTCGTGCCGAACGAAGGCTGGCTCGTGAGCGTCGCCGCGAAGTGCTTCGCCGTGAAGTTGGACACCTCGCGGCCGCCGTGGCCGTCGAAGACGCCGAAGACCGCCGTGCCGCCGACGTCCGCCGCGATGTGGGCGTCCTCCTGGCCCTTGCGCCACCCCTGCATCGACGACGCGCCGTACTCGCAGCGGTTCCCGGCGTCGCCGGACTCCGACTCCTTGCGAGTGTCGGGCCGGCTGAGGTAGACGCCCATGGTGGTCGCGGTTGGGCGCGCTCGCGGACGCGTACAAGGCTTTCGGCGCGGTGCGAAAGCGCTGCGAACCCGACGAAAGCGCTGCGAACCCGTCGAGGTCGTTGGCGGACGGCGGTGTATAAAATCACGGCGCGACCGTGCGTCGGCCAGTGTTGCCGGCACTGAAGATGCACTGACTGCTCGTTGAGGCTCGGGCTGCGAACGGCAGCATAAGAACCGTGGAGGTCATGGACGGCATCAGCTGCTGCGGCGCACCCGAGCTCCAGCCCGAGCTCCAGCGCGACCTCGGCGCCTTCATGGAGGAGGACCGGGATTCGGAGGACGAGCGCGAGGCGCGGCGGCGGCGGCGGAAGGAAAAGAAGTTGAAGCGCAAGGAGGCGCTGCTGGCCAAGCGCGAGCAGCCGCCGACGGTCGACGAGCTGCACGACACCACGACCGCCGCCCTGGCGGCGGTGCGCGAGCGCCTGACGCTCCTCGAGGAGAGCGTCCTCGACGACTCGGAGGACGACGACGAGAAGGCGGTGTGCCTCGAGGCGAGCGCCGAGGTGAGCTTCAAGCCCATCGACAAGCTCTACGAGATCGCCAACGACTCCTTCTACTTCCGCGTGTCCGCGCGGATCATGCACGAGCCGCTCCGGCTGAAGAGCTTCGTCTACTGGCTCTTGACCCTGCTGTGCATGTACCTCCAGATCCTCTGCCTGACGACGGTCTGGTTCAGCACGTGGTGGCAGTACGCGAACTCGGTCTGGTACGACGACGAATCAGAAGAGGTCACCGAGG